AAAAAAAAAAAAGAGAAAAAAGGAAAGAAAAAATTCCAGCCTCATTCTAGTTGTATCGTCAAAGAAAAAAAATGATACGAGAATGATATCACCTCGATTACGTTATTTCCCTTAACTTCGAAAATCAGATATTACCAGTTTCTGATTTTATTTACGACTATTGATTATTATCACTTTGTGTCACACTTTTCGAAAGATTCCACTCTTTATCTATATTTTTTTCTTCTTCTTTTCTTATACACAATTTTATTATTATTCACGTTATTTTCTTTAATGATCCTTTACGCGTGGAAAAACGTTTACGATCGCGCTTTGTGTTACAAGGACCCCTCTCATTCTACGAACTACATGGCTGGATAATTATCGATCGGTGAATGTGGTTCAAATAACGAAGACAAGAATTCTCAGAGAATCTTGTTCGTTGTATTACTCGCGGTGTAAGTAATACAATTTAAAATTACAACTATTTCTTACCTTTATCGATTCGATTCGATTCAATTCGTTTATTTTCGTGTCGCGTAGCCGAACGTTAAGTTCCACGAGAATATTTAACATGTAACACCTGTTCAAGATTCCGTCTGATACTTTTATGTAAATAAGACAGACCTTAGTTCGTACATTGGCATGGTAAAAGCTCGGTAAAATTACGGGAGCGTGATCGATCGGGTTCTTCGATATGACTACGATATTTCGTCATATGCATTTTTTTTTCGAACGAATTAAATACGTTCCCGAGTATGTAAGATCATTTTTTTTCTTTTTTTTTTTTCTTTAACCCTTTTCCCCAATCCCCTCTTTCTTTTGTCTCTCTCTCTCTCTCTCTCTCTCTCTCTCTTACACTTATACGTAGAATATTTTTCTACAAGTTTTATTCGAAGTTACAAGAGATCGCGTTTTGTATGGCATTAGAGATCGTTATCCCATTAATCCTCGAGATATAATGCTTTAGATAAAATCGTGAGTACCATAATCCGACACGACTAAGATATTTTTCAATCTTTTTCTTTTGTTTTTACTAATTCTAACATTAAAACGCGAATAGATCGTGTTGTCCGTGTTGTTGTTGTTGTGTACCTTTTAGACAAACTGTTTTATATACATTGACCGTATGTTTCCTGTATTAATTCTCATTAGATTCGTAATGTTTCTTGTAAAGTTCATCGTCATTTTATCATTAAAGTCATTTGAAAAATTTAATTGTTGGTATTCATTTAAGTATAAGATCTCTGATATTATTTTTTTTATACAAAATGTAGATCTGTTGATATATTTCTTTGGTATATTTTCATTTTGATACGAAAATTGTGATTTTATTGTAGAAAAAAAAATTGTAATTTGTATGAAATTTATTCTTGATTAGTTTATTTCATAATTTCTCTTTCATCCTTCGGCCTACGAGTGTACATTCCATGTCTACAACTGCACGGTTCCATTCCTTCCTTCCTTTATTTTTTTTTTTATTTGTTTAATTAGACTCTTAAAACGACCACTTTCCCTGTAAGCCATAATTAACGTATTCGACTATGCTCGAGCGAACGAGAGGGATGACGCTGATGAGTGAAAGAAAGAAAGAAAGAAGGAAAAAGAAAAAAGAAGATAAGAAAGAAAGAGAAAAAAAAAAATTAACCGAATTTTTACAGTGCCCTACGGGAATTAATTTCACTTTAACCCTTTGTAAACTTAATTTGTTTGTAGTTACTTAAAAGGAAAGAAAAAGAAAAAAAGGTTATACGTAATAGAATACTCACAAGTAACAATTAAATACAAAATTAACGATGAATGGAAAATTGTCAAAGGTATCGTTCGAACTCATAATGAATATTAATGATTATTTAAAAAAAAAGAATATTATTGATTACAGAACAAGAGATGAATGCGCCACGTTTCTCTCGAGAAACAAAATGAAATGAAACGTAATTAAATGTTGAAGTATCTTTGAATGATTTTTATAAATCAGGTAGTAACTATAAAAGGTTAATTGATATCAATTAGAGATTGATATTTCTTGATTTCACTTTACGTAGTAATTTTTTGGTCAATTTTGTTTCCATTATTCATTATTGTTTAGTTAGTATAACTTATTCGCATAATTAATTGTTTGTTTAATCGAACGACTGTGATCTGATAAAGCATCGTGGACGACGGCTCCTTAAATATTCGATTGATTTTATCGTTATATAACATTTCGAGGATAGGTTTACCTTGCATATGCATGTATATCGAAACGAACCGTGCATTGAAGCTTTCTAGGAAATGGAATGTTTGCTCCAGTAACATCGGGCACAACGCTTTATACGAAAGTAACTGTTGGAATTGCATTACGTTGCCTCTATAATGAACGGATTGCTTGATTAACGATACAGGGAAAGGGAGAAAATGAGAGAGAGAGAGAGAGAGAGAGAGAGAGAGAGAACTATTTCAGTTGGACATTAAATACTTAGAAGTACATACACATAATACAGGTACGCTTAAGACCTCGAAATTGGATCAGAGGAAGTTCTTGTTTGGGAATCTTTTGGTATATTAAATAATCAAATAAGTTTTTCAATGTGTACAATAATTGTTCCTATGTTAACTTCAATATTTTTCATTCCATTCGCGTATTTATTAATCAACGCAAACTATTCGGACAAAAATCAAAGTTATAATTTAATGATATATTTTATAACGAATAAGCGGAATACTTTATACTTGTTTCTAATTGTTTACTCATTAATAATTAATATTTATTTGTAATGCAAACTTTCCAAATTGTGTTATTCGTATAAAAACTACTTTTAGAAATATTATACTTTTAAATTGATATATGTATATACATATATATATATATATATATATGAAAATATTTCTATGATTCATTGTATAATATTATATGTAAAATTTTTATATAGTGATATATATTATTTACCTTTATCCGATAGCGTTGTCTCATTATAGTTTGGGGTTGAGGACATCTCGGTGGAAGTTGGATGCACCATGAGAGCGCGTTCACGACTACTGGCTCTTCATATCTTTCCATAGAAGTGACCGTGTAACTGTAACATTCAATCAATTAGCGATTAACCTCTCTCTGGTTATACCCTTATCGGGATGAGTATAATGTTATGCGAATGGGATGATGTTAGCATGGGATAGGATATCTAGTGAAGCCAGCCAAGATCAGTATCATGATTCCATTCTATCAAAGCTATTAAGCAAATATTTCATATAATAATTACATTAATTAAATAATAGGAATATTAAATATACGTAACAAATTTCATATGAAAGATATTAATATATCCTCTTTAATATATTTATATTTATTGTACAGGGGGTTATTATGGATAAAAATATCACATATAATAAATATATTTGAACTTTCTATGAGCACATATTTGTGGGGTGTAGATGCATCAATTAATTCACGAAGTGCAGCTGAGTGAGAGATTTGATTTAATTATTTTTTATATAAAATTAAATGAATTTTAATTTAAGTTTTGATTTTAATCTATTTATTTGAGTCACATTTTTCGAGAGATATTTCACACATCATATTTATTAAAATTATAAATTTGAAATAATTTACTCACTTTTCGATTCTGGTACAAATTGTTTCAGCCGACAATGCGTATGACATAACGATGGTGTAAAAAAGAAACAACGATACTCCGAAGACGTTCATTTTCAATTAGATATAACGATATTACTTAAAATTCATAATTTTCTTCGAATAAAATTATTATTGTTTTTGGCAAATCGCAAAAAAAAATTCATCAACGAATTATTTTCCCGATGACGTTTTTTCCTGAAACATAAAATTAGTGTGAGCAAGGAAAATACGAGATATCTCATTTCTCGAATGAATTGAGAAAGGGTGGAACGGTATTGGTCTTGTTAGTGGTCTCTAAATACTTATGGAGTATCTCGTTACCATCCGTAATACGAAACGTGGTGAAGGTGCAATGTTACGGTTATTGCTTGTTCTTTTGAGAGATCAAGAATATAAGATTCGTTGATTATTCTAAATAATTCATAAGTTTTTCATATACAATTTAACTACACAGAGTCATTCACAAATAAATATATTGAAATTTTCTATTGTAAACTTTAAAATGTTTTTCTATATATGTTCATTTTATACTTTAAATAAATCATTTGTTTTAATTAATAATTAATTAATAAGCAACACATTATGGGAATTCAATTGTACCGCTTAATACAAATTTACCACATTTAGTTATACACTTATTTAAAAATCTTTACTTCTATCCCTTTTTCTTTTCTTATGTCATTCACATACATTGAGAATGTGACAAATTTATTTTACACGATGCATATTACATTTCAAAAAATAACGTTAGATTTCTATTAGTAAAAAATAACAAAATTACGTTAACGAGTTATTAAATACGTTTACTCACGCTTCGTCCAACACTGGTAAAAAATTCTAAACGAAGTGACGACAAACGAAATCGTATTGCATACAGGAAGATTGAACGTACCGATAAGTTAGTTAATTTTAGATTCAACTACTATAACACATAGAGTAAATTAAACTATGCTTATTTAAAGTACGGTATAGAATTTCGATTGGTAAAACGTACGTGCAATAAACTCATTTAAAGTTAACATATAATATAATATCTGTTCCTTCGTATGGATCCAACGAGGACAACGTGTGATTTATCACACGTGCTATATTAGACAAGTAGACACTATCTGCTTCGATACACGAATACATACATATATACATACGTACAACAGTGAGACAGATGGATAGACAAACGGACAGATGGAGATTATCGTGAGAATTGAAACAGTGGACGCTATTTAATTTTTCGTAGCAGTTCATCGTGTCGTGGCACCGGAAACATTGAAGAACGGACGCAAATAGGAGTCGCGTCCTTTGAGGGATCTTTTTCAAAGGGTGTCTTCTCTGACAGGAAGTAAGAACTTGACAAATATAATTCGAGAGTTAAGCACGACACTTACGATCGAGTGGTGGTGGTGGTGGTGGTGGAGGTGAGTGGGGTGGTTTGAGGAAACATTCTCAATCGTTTTCTTATTAAATGGTTTAAAAAAAATGAGAGAAAAAAAAAAAACAATTATCGATCGCACGTTTATTTTACCGCACCTTTTTCTGTGTTAACATATTTTAAACACCGTTAATTAATATCATCATCGGAATATTATTTCTCATACGTTAGAAACGCATTTAATTAAATACACACGTAAATCGACATTTTCTCCGGCGGTTAGTCAAGTGCATTATCGTCTTGAGAATCTTTCGAAATCGATTTTATTGTGTGTATATGTGTGTGTGTTACATGACGACCCAACCTTAACCTTTTTAATGTCACGATCTCGTTCGAAAAAGGCCGTGTCGTTCCTACGTCCTTCTTCTTAGCTTTAACAAATGGATTTGTTGTGATCTAACTGAACAACACACTATTTTTAATGCATGTTCGACCGCGTGAGATTGTAATTTAAATGTTTTTGTTTGCCTTTAGAGAGATCATCGTACTCGGGGGGACGAGTGTTAGCTAATAAGTAAGACAAAAAACGTGTTTCGTGTCATCGAACGAACGAACGAACGAACGAACCATCTGTGCGACTCCTTGAGAATTATTTCTTCTTCTCGTTATTATTATTATTTTATATTATTATTCCGTGCGTATTATTCGTTCCTATTAAAAGAAAAAAAAGAAAAAAAAAAACCACGAAATTCTAAAACACATTCTCACATAATTCACGTCTACAAGAATATAATTCAATTTTTTTCGTTCTCTTATTTTTCTTTTACTTATATTCTGTTTTTTTTTTTGACAGAGTTTGGGAAAGTTAATTAACGCGTATATCGAGTAATTTCCGTGTTACGGATTTATAAATTCCCACGAATTCGTGTTAGTTAATTTAATTGTATTATATATAATATTTTCGTTATAACGGTAACGTCGAACAATTTTTCTTTACTCTTTTGTTCTTCCTTTTATTTTTCTTTTTTATTAACGTTATTTTTATCGATCACGTATCGAGAGGATAGATATTATTAATCATACTTACGTTATATCGATGATATAAAAAAATACACGAATGATATTATCCACAAATAAATAAAATCACTATACTTTATGGGTATTTATTAAATATTCGTTTGAATTGTTAATTATTACGAATAACTAGTTTGAAATTGATTAAAATCAATATTATTTAATTTATCGAATGAAATGATGGAATAATCCGTTCGCGTAATACAAGTAAATCAAATTTTGAAATGTTGTTAGACAAAATTCGTACATCAGATTCGCGGGTTGATTCTGAACTGACAGGAGGAGTTACAATGTAACGAGCAATTGGCGTTGTCGACACTCGGAATGCTTTTGTGGCTCAATGAACTTCGACCCTCCCGCAACGTTCAGGAGAATGACAATAAAGATGGGATACGAAGAGGGAAAAGAGGGATTTGCTTAGTTCGGAGAAGGGGGATGCGGAGGAGAGACACACAATTAACGGAAAGGGATGAAAAGGGAAACGATACTCGAAACAAACGTTAGCTCGAGTCAAGGATATCCTGTTGACAGAGAGATTACTTTAATAAAAGAATTATTATCCTTTAGTTTATATTTCTTTACTTACTACCTTTACTTTTAATCTTTCTTTCATTCTACATACCGGATTAAGATTCCTGTAAATATTAGGTACCGTTACTAGTACTTTTTCATCTTCAATGTTATTACACATTTACTTAGAAATTACGAAAATGAAATAAATAGATATATGATAATTGAAAAAATAAATAATACCTATTCCAATACGATACGTACTAACAAAGATATGTTTTCGTTGAGTAACAATACAAATTTTGTTTGAATTTTTAATATTGAACTGTCGATAATTATTTCGTAAAAATAACGACGAATATTTTCATCGTTCATGATATTAATTTCTATCGATTATAATTGTCAGATCTTAATGATCAATGTAAAAACTGAACGATAATACTTTTCGAATAATTCGTAGGAAGAAACGGTTAGAATTCTTCTCTTCAAACTCGTTCGGTTTTTTGTTGTTGCTAGGAAAGTACATGGTGGTTACGTTTGAGGAGAAGAAAAAAAAAGATAGAAAAAAAAAAAAAAAAGGAACAAAGATAAAATCTGAATAGACGAGCGAAAGTGAAGTACGGGGCTTCTCGTCGGTTGTCGGACACTGTGACTACGAACAAGTAGACTGGTATAATGGGATGATTGGTTAGGGCAATTCCCTCTTGTTCTCGCGGCACGCAATGAACCGGACTCTCGTTGCAACCAACGTTCAACGAGCCCATCGGTCGTTTAATCTTATAAGCCACGAATAATGCCTTCGTCCTACGACATAGAACTAATTAGCAGTCACGGAAGAACACGATCGGTTTTGTTATTTTTTTTTCTCCCCCCTCCCCGTCTCTCTCTTTTTACGATTAGAATAGTAGTCTAGTTATAGGTGACTGTATAGTTCCTTCCTATTAATTTGTTCTCTTACAATAATTTGTTTTTTTTTTTTCTACGAATTATTCAATTAACGAATTAATTTTCAAAATTAAAATAAAATGTCACAATCATAACGCAAAGAGTTTATTTTTTGTTTTTTGTTTTAAATTTGTCAAAGCGATAATGTATTCCTTTGGACAAAAAACATTTCCCATGCAAATTTCTACAATCTTGATTCTTATTTTCTAAGAAGTTTGTATATTTTATAATATGGTATTCTAATTTGTTCATTTTCGAAGAAGTGATATCTCTCGATCGATATCATTCCATGGAAATTATTTTTTGTAGAAGAGGAACTAGTTATATATTATAATCATTCGACGACCTTCGTTCAGTTCCTTTTTTTTTGGTTCAAATAATGATACAGGACGGAATCACTTTGGTTATTTTAACGACTTGATTATAAAATTTAAAGGTGGGTTACCATAGACCGGTGTTTTTCTTAATTCATCGATTAGTTCATATATTTCGTAACATTTTCATGAAAAAAAAAAAAAAAAAAACAAACTAATTTACGATGACGGATTAATGAGTGTCCCACTTTGGGAGAATTGTATTTTTGAGTCTTATAATAAATTACAAATAATGGCGTTTTAAAATACGGAAAGACTGCGATTTTTATACATTTCTACGCTCTGATGTTATATTCGTAACAATCAAAATGTTATATTCCATATAGAAAATACACAAAATTCACTAAGTGAAAGTATTTTATTTCTAATTTTATTCGCGTGTTAGCGCGTTATTCCGTCTTATTTTAATTAGTTATTCTATCGATTTGTCTATGTTTGCTGAAAACATTTGCTAGAAAGACTTTCTCCATTTGTAAGATATATTCAAATAGAATCGTCATTTAAAAGATAAAACTAACAAGAAAGTTGTTAGTTTCTTGTAATTGCCATACGAAAAATGAAATTCGATCTAACGAATAGATTTTCTCATGTGTGTGTGTATGTGTGTATGTTGCCGATTTTACTTCGAATTTTTCATCGTCTTCGTCGTAATACTTTATCGATATTATGGTACCACTTTTTGTTGACAAAAATCAACACATAAAATAGAAATTACATGGTCGAAAGATAGCTGGACTATTGCATAACGATTGCGTAGATTAGAGATCGTTTAATTAACGCCTCGATGTATTGCGTGATCTATAAGCGATTTGAAAAAAAAAAAAAAATGTACAAATATAGAAAGCGAAAGGGGCTTTGAGATACTGTATTAATGTTTACAAAATTGTAATCAAATAAATATCTTCACCCCTTTTGTGTCATTAGACGATTCAAAACAACGACAACTGTCAGATCGTTAAGACGAATTGTTAGAAATACCAATAGGTATTGATTTAACTCTTGTTTACGAGAATAAATTTGATACGTATCTATTAAACGAATTAGAAATTTATTAGTTAAATTTTCTTTTTTTTTTATAGCCGCGAGCAATTCATTTGATTTCGAAATAATATAAAGAAAAAAAGAAATGTATATGTATATGTATATATATATATATATATTCGAATGGAACGCGAAGATTTTATTCTTCCTTCGGCCTTGACTTTTAAACGGAAATTCCAATTTGACGTTTAACCATCCTAAGCGAAACCATAAAAGATGAATTTAAGTGATCGTTCGAACGACGTTTTAAAAAAAAAGGAGGACTCGGAATATTTTGGAAAAAATTATATCGCTCGACGTTTTTTTTTCGAAGAAATATATAAATATATTTGTATTTAAAATAATATTATAATTAGTTCTTTAAACGATAATTTGAATAATGCCATTTATTATCACGTTAACGATATACTGATTTAATGATACAACATTAACAGAATAGCTAAGATATTTTCGTAATAATTATATCGTTTGATTTTTTCATATTCAGACTAATTAATAAATAACAACAACAACAACAACAACAAAAATACAAAACTCGGATAGAAAATAATAGTTAGTTGAAAACTATGACGTGAAATAATATAGGTTTATCACGTTAATGATATACCGGAAGAAGGATATACAAGAGACATGTTTTCAATGTAAGTGGATAGCCATATTGATTATATTGTTAGTTAAAAAAATATATATATTTTTTTTTTTTTTTTTAAAGGAGACACAACACAGGAGAAAGAAACGGAGACAGAAGTCGAGAAAGTTTCTCGTGCATGGACTCGATCAAAGACAGTGACATTGGTTGAACAACATCGTGAGCTGTTTGATATTATGCAAGAGGTGCATTGTTTCATCGTAATGAGCAATCGTAATTAGCCTCATTACGTTTTCTAATAATTAATATTATTTAGTGAATATATATCTTTGATATGTTTAAACCAACGATTAATTTATTTCGTAAAACGAGAACGTAATTTAAGATGGACGCGCTCTGATGATCAATTAAGATCCGCATTTCGCAAAAATTCTTTATAAAATTCTTAATTATATTATTTAATTGTTGAAATAAAATAATGAAAATAAAAACAAAATATTGTATATAATAGATTTGCGAGATCGCGTATCGATGGATTATGAATAATTTTCTTAATATTGATTATTTAATTATTCATTGCAAAATCGAGCGTATCTGGGGTAAGATGATTAAATGTTAGGTATCGAGCAAAGTATCGAGTTTAAAATCGAAAGAACGTTCGCTTTTTTTTTTTTAATCTTGTTTCGCAGTTGCGCAATTGACGAAGACGCCTTGGTTTCCCGTTACTTTCTTTTCTCTCGAAAATAACTTTCGCGGTCGATGGGTAAGAATGTATATATATATATGTATATGTATGATATGTATGTATAAGTATAAAAGTATATTTATCTATCAGGATATATATCTGTTGAAACAACTGAGAATGATTATTATACATTTTCGAAATAAACTAAATTACTTTGATCTCATTAATCTATTTCGTACAAAATGGATTTTCTATAGGATAATAGAAAAAAAAAAAATAATAATAATATGGAAGAACAAAAAAGAATTAGAGGATCGATTTGAGAAAAAAAGGGGGAAAAGAAGAAAAAAAAAAAAAAACGCACCAACAGATATATCTACGTTCCCCTCGCGTGTATTCGTGAATGGTGAAAGTGGTTGGTTGGTTGGTTGGTTGCTGGCTGACCAGCCGGTTCATTGTGCGCGTTGTAGACGTTTCGCGGAAAGGATTGACTTCCCGGTCTTCCGATTACGCAAGTGGACGAACCAGTTTTGGGCCAGGTCGAAAAACTCTTCCTTTCTATTCGATGGTCACCCTTCGATCTGCCCATCGTCTTCAAAATATACTTTACCTTTTTATAATTTTAAATCTTTCACGTATTTCTTTTCTTATACATCTTGTCATTTATTTTTTTCAAATCAAATTTTATATAACTTGATATTAATCTTTTACAAGGTACAAAGGTACAGGGATTACTTTGTACGTCATTTGAAATCAACAAGTATTAATAACATTTGTGTGAATAATATTCAAATCGAATAATAAAATATTTGTTTCAAATGTATTCTTATATGTTAGTTACGATAAGTCAAATTATTATAATATAATAAATATTTTGTTGTAATGAGAAAAAAAATGTTTGAAATT